AGGGAGGCAGTGAAGGACAGGAAGGCCTGGCGCAATATGGTTCATGGGATCACGAAGAGTCTGACACGACTTAACGACTGAACAACAACTATATAATGCAATACATTACTAGAAATATTGCACGAGGAAGGAGAGTGTTTCACTATATTTTCTTGAAAATTATTATTCAGTTTCTTAAAAAAAAATTCTAATTCACTAAGTTTAGTGTAAAGAAAATTATTGATTGAATACCCATCATTGCTTTACTAAAATATCCCATTATCACAAATATAAGAAAGGATTTACTTCAAAAATTCCCTTTGTTATTTTATGAAAAGTTTATTTAATGTTCTGAAACTTGTAGTGTGACACTAATTTTGCTTTTAGCTGAGGAAATACTTTGTTTTGGTTTTTAGGGATAACTTTTCAGGGAGGCTACTGTGAGGCTATTGAGATGATATATAAAATAATCAGTAGAATGGGCTGTGTATTTGGAAAAATAATGACTGAGCATCAGACTTCTTCCAGCAAAGCTGAATTGAAACCAGTTGATCAGGCACATAAGAACTTCTGATTAATAATTTATTATAGAAAAGCTAGGAAGCCATTATGAAAAATTGCAGCAACAGCTGGGTATCAAAACTGTGTCTTATATATTGTGAAATCAAACTTCATATTTTTGTATCTCTTTCTCCTGCCTGAACTATGTAATGTCCTGGACAGCACTCTTATTTTACTGGAAGGCCCAGATTGTCTGTCTTGCTTTGACAACACACATTTAATAATCAGGTTGTTCTATATGTGAAAACTAACTCAGACTGAAAAGCTATTGGATGTTAGAGGATATGTTGGAAGGAAGGTTAAGTTAGAAGATGTTGAATAGGATATGGGATGTTGGGAAGGGAAAAGTTAAGGGTAGTAACAGTGGAAATGAGAGACAGATTGGATCTATGCCCAGTTGGGAGGCAAGCAGGAGTGGAGTCGGCCCTGGATAATGGCAGAGGCTGTAGGGAGTAAGCAGAGCTGCTGGTGGTTATGTTTTGCTGAGACAGTTGCAGAGGAATGAGAGAACAGAGTGATGACTGCCATTGTAGTTCAGGCAGTCACAGGAGAGACATGGAGCTGACCCAACCAGGAAAATACTGTAGAATTTGTGGCTGGAACAACATCCTGGCAAAGATCAGTGAGAATGGTGGAGACCAGGACAAAAAGTAGAGAATTGTTCGGAGCAGAAGCCAGAGGAGTAAAAGACTGGGAGCTATAATGGCAGCAGCTTCCCAAATACTTGTTTGGTGATGGCTGGAGGCCAGGGGGAGAACTGAAATGAACAGTTCATTTGGAAATGTAGATTGGGACTGGCAGTGAGCTATAATATTAGACTCAGGTGAGAGGAATGCTTTGAGGATCCCCTTTGAGTGAAAAAATTAGGGAGGAACCCTTGCTTTACTTAATAAATAGGTAGGCTCTGGATGATTTATTATAATAGGTAGTAGATTGTGAAGGGAAGGTAGAAGTGGGGGTGGATATGTGTGATTTTAAACATGAATGATAGGAGTCTAAATGTAGCTAAGAGATTATCCTTGTGCCTTGTCAATCTCCATAACACTGAGGTGGCCATAGTGCTAGATGAGATTGTTCCTAAGTCACCCAGCTCCAGTCATCGATTCCTTCTGTTCTCTGGTTCTCAGAGGGGCTTCAGGAGCAGAAACAAGTGAAAAGATGCCAGAAGCAATTATGATATAAGGCAAAAAATGACTGAGAGCTGGTAGAAGCCCACATTTGAGTCTACATAGTGACAATAAAAGCAGTAAAACATCTATTCTTCTGTACATTTTGTCCATGGAATCAGCAGCCCTGTTTAGCATGACCATGACCCTTTTGAGGAACAAGGGATAGGACAAGATACCTGCAGGCCATTTAGATGATCATGCAAGTTTCCTTGTGGGTAAAGTTGTTTGAACTTGTTTAAAGTCATCCCTTTAAGTTATGATTCAGGCCATGCATGGGACAGAAACCACATTGGTTGTTATAGTGGATGACTTTCATTGGCTCCTGGATGTAATTGAGTGTATACTTCCTAAAGCTGTTAGACTTTTTAATCACATTTGATGCCATCAACCATTGTATCCTACTGGATATCCTGCAAGGGTTGGGGGCATGATTTTGCAATGGTCCCAGTCTTATCTGAGCAGAAAGTTCCAGTCAGTAGTTAAGGGGGAACAATGATCAAGCTGGGCTTGCTCCATTTGACCCTCTCCCCCATGTCATTTAACTAAGAAACAGCTGGAAGAAATCATCTGTTTGGAATGAGGTGTTACCGGTATGAGAATGATACTCTGTTGTACATCATCACCTCAGGCTGGTTTGGAGATGCAGTGGAAATCTTGAACTGGTATGTTGAGGCTATATGGGATAGGTGAGGAGAAATAAGCTCAGACTAAGTCCCAGCAAGATGGAGATGCTTTTGTCCTTAAACCTCGTGGCTATGAAGAAACATTGGTTCAGGTGGCTGCTCTAGATGGGGTTGCACTCCTCATGAAGGAGTTGGTCCATGTTTTAGGAGATCTCCCTGGACTGACCATAATCACAATCAGGATTTACCCATAATCACAATCAGGACTTGTCTTTTCTTTCTTCTGTTTTATGAGGAACAAGATATTACACTGTTCCTAGTTGCTTTGAAATAAAATTTGTATAGCATAAGAAAGAAAATGAAGGATTGTTTGTTCTCTGGAAAAGTTCTGTTATGTGAATTTTTAGTTATGATCTCTTTGTTGATGAATAGTGAAAGCAGAGAAAATTGGAAGTAGTAAGTTAATAAATCCAGTAAGTTAATCTGTTTCATTTGACATTGTTCTGTGCTATTGTATTATTCAGATTCTTAAGATAATAAATGATAAGTTATGCTACTATTGGACAGTTTGGGGAAAATTGATGTGCCTAAGTGCAGTTAGTTGACTTAGTGAATCTTCTAACTCTTTCATCTCTGTGGAACATTGTAAGTAATACTTCTTGTAGTGAAGAGTTATTAGCCTTGGGCTGCAGTGCAGAATTCAAAATGTTCTCAGGCGGGTATAAACATCTTAAAAGGGCAATGCATTTTTTTAAACTGGGCATAAATAATTAATGAGCTTATATTATTGTAGGACAGTTATGTTTTTCAGATAGCAAGTTTCTAAACTGTTAATTGCCATCCCTACAGCAAATTAATTCTGCTATATTTGAATGAACTTAATTAGTCCATAACAAAAAAAAAAGTCCCAGCAGCCTATCAATAAATGCAGTGAGTGAAAGAACAATGTTTTTATATGTAGTATAAATTTTATTTGAATTGTAGAGCTTTATTGCATTTATGTTATTTGAAACTATATTACAAGCAGTATAATCTCAAAATGGAAACCATCTCATTAAATTCTAGTTTGTTTTCAATATGTTTAGCATACTGTTGTTCCTGTTATTGTACTTCTTTTCTATCAAAGGTACTTTGTTTTTTCTAAAACTAGTATACAATATAAACGTTGATGGACTTTGACAGTCTGAAAAGATTCCATTTAAAGTATAAATCCTTTTTAGCTTCCATTTTGCTTATAAAATTTATAGACTTCCTTAATTTAATCAGATTCTAAGCAGTTTACAAATATATATAATGAAATTAATAGCAGTAAATAATAAAAAGAAGCTAAAGATGATGATGATGATAGTAAGAATGAGGAGGAGGAGATAGAAAATTTCAATTGACAAAAACAGAGAAAGTGATGCCAAATAGTCACAAATTAAATTTGTTATTATTCAAATCATAGGTTAAAAACTGTAGTGGAAGAATTAATTCAGACACAACAGACCCTTCTAAACAAGGAGGAATTAGTTCTGGAATTAGAAAAGAAGATTGAAGAGTCTTCTAAGATCTGTGAAAGAAAATCTGAGTGAGTAAATGACAAACATGGAAGTGTATTATATCTAAATTTAATTTTTCAAGTTATTCATATAAGATTCTTGAATTAAAGTGAGAGCCATGTGATGCATTGTAACTCATTTAGTAAGACCATGTTTCATTGCACCTTCTTCATAAGCCCAGTATTATTGATTATATTTAATAGCTGATTTTACAAACTATTGTAAAACTCTTTTTTTTAAATATTGTAGTACTTCTAGCATTACTTTTCAGTATTTTTCTTTTAATTCTTTTATTGTTTATTGACTGATATCTGTAATGGTACATTTTATTTCCTATCCCTTCCATTGAGTGTAATGATGCTAAACTCTATTTCTTTAATTCAGTTATATGGAATTCTGGAAATTTACAAGGATTTCTTCCTTAGACTGTTCCTTATTAACTTCTCCCTCCACATTAATTTGTTAAATGCAGCCTAAACAGATTCCTGTTCTGTTCTTGTGCCTGTAGTTAAAGTTGCATACATTCATTGTACAAAGCTATAGTGAATACTAGACAACCTGTGACCCATTGGATCATCGTCTCAGAGATATTTCCTTACCTAAACAGAGAAACAGAATGATCAAGGGCAAAAAAGCAGAGGGAGCATTAGTGACTTATGACTTGCTGCGGGCTTCACCATTGACTTTGCTACTGGAAGCTGGCAGAAATCCCTCCCTCCCTCCCTCCCCTCCCCGAAGCAGCCACAAATTCCCCAAATTTCAATCCCACAGGAGTAATGGGTCCTAGAATTTCTGTAAGTTAGCCCATTTGAGTTCAAAAATTGTTGCCTTATGACATACAGTTTCGCCCAGTTGAAGGTTACAGACATGAGAGTTTTAGTAGTAGATAGATGCTGTGCAGGTAGTCCTCACTTAACAACTGCTGTGTTCAGTAACCGTTTGACATTATGACAGCGCTGAAAAAAGTAACTTTACGCCTTGTCCTTGCACTTATGATTGTTGTATAGGTGATTTACTTAATGACCACAGCAGGAGTGATGTCGTAAATCCAGTGTGATCATGTGATGTTTTGCTTAACAACCAGGCCCAATTGTGTTCATTAAGGGAAACATCTGTATGAAACATCTTATTCATGTTTATACAAAAGTGGCATATATGAGGGAGTACTTTTTATACACTATGAATTTGTCACTACTATTTGAACTTAAAGGAGAGAATTTAAAAGTAGTGAGGATCTCTACCGCTCTTCCTTAGATCAAGCTCTACAAATAAATTTGTTTGAGGGGGAAAACAGGTTGACGATTATAACCACTAGACTCCATCAGTGAAGTTAATCCCCACCCCATATTTATAGGATCTTAAATCTGCTAAAGATATATTATTGGATATGGTCTTGAGAAATGAAATAAATCCTTCCATTTTGCTTTTAGTATAATTTTGCTGCCATTCTTTTCAGCATTGTGCTCCTGCTAAGCCAGAAGCAAGCCCTCGAAGAATTAAAGCAAACTGTTCAGCAGTTGAAATGCACTGAAGTCAAATTTGCAGCCCAGAAGGAACTTCTTCAACAAAAAATGCAAGAAAATGATGGGAAAGAACCCCCACCTGTTGTAAATTATGAGGAAGATGCCAGATCAGTCTCTTCCATGGTAAAATTTACATTTATTTGTTAGGACAATGTTGCTAATGTTGTTTTAAAATGAATTGTACTGTTGGTAACTAAAAGCAAAGGATATACAGGTAGTCCTTGCTTAACAACAGACCAGAATTTCTGCAACTGGGTGGGGGAGGGGGATGATGCAGTGTGTGTGTGGCGAGGCCGGGTTGGGTGTGGTGCGGTGCAAGTGTGGCAAGGCCAGAGACACACGGAGCAAATACAGCAGGGCCAGGGGGCATGATGCGACATGAGTGTGGCGGGGCCAGGGGGTGGGCAGTGCAGCACAAGTGCCTGATGGGCTCGCACTCACCCTGCCACCCAGGGGCTCCTCAGGAAAGAACAGCAGTAGCAAGAGTGACTTACCAGAGCAACTTGCGACCTTCCCTGCTGGCTTCCCATTGATTTTGCTTGTGGGAAGACAGCAGGGAAGGTTGCAAATGGTGATCACATGACCGCGGGATGCTACAACCGTCATAAGTGCGAGATGGTTGCCAAGTGCCTGAATTACAATCATGACCACCGCATTGGCTGCAACTTCGAGGACCAGTCATAAGTCCTCATTCAATGCTGTTGTAACTTTGGTCATTGAATGAGTGGTTGGTAAGCAAGGATTACCTGTACTACATCATAAGGTATTTATTTTTTCCTGAAAGTTACTGTAACAGTATTTAACTTAAAACACTGTTTATTGAGGATCTTGGCAGTTTTCATTGGCTTTGAAATAGATTCAAATGTATGAATAGCTAAAAATATGACATGCTTGAGATTAATAAACTGATCCCAGGTAAGCTATAATTTCTAAGTTCCTATGTTGAAAGTAGAAATTGATTTGGTGCTATCAACTTGGTGTTGACTCTTAGTGACCACATAGATAGACCTTCTTTAGAATGATTTATCCCCAGCCTGACCCTGTACATCTCTCAATGGTGTACCTAACACTGCTGTAATCAAGTCAATCTACCTTGTTGCTAGTGGTTGTTGTCTTTTTTCATGCCTTCTTTCCCAACATTATCGAATTCTCTGGGAAGTAGGTCTTCTCATATGTCCATAATATGATCATTGGAGCCTGGTTGTTTGTGTCTCAGGTGAAAATTCTGGTTTGATTTGTTCCATTTGTTTGTTTTCTTGACTATCCATTCTCAAGAGTCTTCTCCAACACCAAAGTAAAAACATCAATACTCTTTCTATCCTGCAAAAGTAGAATTAATAATACTTATTTGTTGTATTCATACAATTATATGTTTTGGCATGGTCTCTACTTTATAGCAGGCAAAAAAATGAAAGATTAATTTTATGACAGTAACCATTCATAAATATGTGGGCATGATTTGTCTCAAAGTATTTATTTTTATGCCTTCAAGTTAGTCTTGACTTCTGGCAACTGCCTAGACAAGTTCCCTGCAGTTTTCTTGGCAAGGTTTTTCCAAAATGGTTTGCCATTGCCTGCTTCTTCAGGCTAAGTGAGAGTGCAGGACTAGAACTCATGGTCTCCCAGTTTTTAGCTTGATGCCTTAACCAATACACCAAACTGGCTCCTTTGCTCACTCCCTCAAATTACTGAATAGGTTTTTTTTTTAATTATATACAGAGATTTTATGCTTGTGTTCAGAGAACAAAAATATTCTTATTCTTCTTTTGATAACTTGATATCAAATCAGAATTGCATATTGATTTGCAACAGAGAATGTTAGAGTTTTGGAGGCTTACGTTCATGAGAATATAATACTGTAAGAATTTTGCATGTACATGACAACTGATCACAGTAAGAATTTCAGGATGCTGTGCCTTTCTGGATATTGTCTCATAACTATACCCAATATACTATATTCAGATATATGAATATTTTTTTTTTTCTCTCTTGGTTTACCCCATTTTTCAGACCTGGAATTGTATTAATTCTTACGTCAACTTATAGGCTAGACTTAGTATTTTTGGTAAGAACGTTTATTTGTGAAGTAAATTAAGTATAACTCCCCCCCTCCCCCACATGCATGCATGCATGCATACACACACAAATTAAAAAAATAAAGAAAATGCTACAGTTTTCATCTGTAACATAATGAAGATAAGCTTTCCTGTGAGCATATTGCCCAAGAACATCCTAACTATAGAAGCAATAAAGCAACTGATTAGATTGTGAAAAATTCAAATGCCTGGGATTTTATTCAGTCTAAGTGCCAACTTGTATTTCATTTGTTTAAATAATTGTACAGATTGCCAAATTCTAAAGTATTTATTTTTATAATAGCTGTATAATCTTAAGCTAGAAGAAAAATGACTTCCTGAGGCTATGCTTTATGGATAAGTAGAGTTTTAAATATTTCATATCAACATTGCTTCCTCTAATTCTACAATACAAACCACTCTACCTATTATTTATTATTGTTTCTTCTTCATGGTGTTGCCCATAAAACTCAGGCACCCGAGTTGGCATGGAGCTGGAAAGAATCTAGTCCCTGAATTTGAGAGAGAAACACCCAATATCTTTGCAAAGTGGCTTTTTTCTCTCCGACAATATGAACCACAAATACTTCAGGCAAAGCAAAAAAGCATTTATTAAGGGCAGGGGGGTCAAGTCTTTAAATAGGGTACAGAAACAAATGATTACATACATTCGATATACGATAGGTGTATCAAAAGCAACAAATCACTGATATGCATTAAAGGCTTTGTTTTTGTTAAATGCAAGAAAAGACAAACATCCTTAGATGAAATTCCTCAAGTGGCAAATGTATGTGTCTTGAGATGGCTGATGGTCGCAGGAACCCCTCTGTCTTTTGTAAAATATAATACATCTCCTCCTTTCCCACCCAGGTTTGTTTCTTTCTTAGCTTTGATCAAAGACTCTAGAATATAGTCCTATTATTTGATTGTTCTCATCACTGTCCCTGAAAAGGCTAGTTTTTGCACATCAAAGGAAATGGCTTTGGTTCAAAGGAAAAATATGGTTTCCTAAACTTTAACCCTATAATTCTATATAACAAATCCCCCATTTGGTTCACAAACGATCAATAGTTTGCTTAACTACCCTTATATTTAGTAAGCAAGTGAGCAGTTAACATCTGGAATTACACAGGATCTATAGTTGGTGTGTTCTTTGGAGCAGGATTAAAAGAGTAATGGCAGCATATAATGAAGCAGCACATCATCATATAAGACAACATACAGGTAGTCCTCTAACCAAGCAAAGCAGTCGTTAAGCAAGACATCATGTGACCGCTCTGCTTAGCGATAGCAGTTCCAGCAGTCCGAGTTGGGGTTGTTAAGTAAATCACCTGTAGTCATTAAGCGAGACATCATGAGACAGTGACATACGACCTCCTGGTTACTTCCCCATTGACTTTGCTTGTCGGAAGCCAGCCTGGAAGGTTTTAAATGGTGATCAAGTGACTGTAGGATGCTGCAACCGTCATAAATGCATGATGGTTGCCAAGTGCCTGATTCACTATAATGTGACTGCAGGAATGCTGCAATGGTTGTTTGAGGACTGGTGGTAAGTCACTTTTCAGTACAGTTGTAACTTTGAACAGTTGCTAACCAAATGATTAAGCAAGGACTACTTGTAGTGTGATTTAGGCACCAGTTAGTACTCAGGGGCACAGGAAAAATAGAATAGCCCTTGCCTCCATAAGGGGTTGGCAGAAAGAAGATCCAACAAGTTTTATTTTGCAGGCCAGAAATTTTGATCCCATGAAACTTGAGCTGAACAAGAGTATTGTTCTTCCAGCCTATCCTACCACCGTAAGCAGCATAAAAAGCTTGCAAAAGGAGCAAAAGTCCAACAGAAGTCTTGGTTACTTAAAAGTAAATAAATCCACAAAGATTCACAAAGGAGTTCTTTAGGCAAGTTCCAAGAGACTGGGAAAGTCAACAACAGTTGATAGGGATAGAGAGGTGCAACCTATGGCCCCTAGTTTGTGGGGTGCTTCAGGGTTCAACGCTCTTGCTGCTCCTATTTAACATCTACATGAAACCATTGGGTGAGATCATCCAGCACCATAGGATGAGGTATCATCAGTATGCTGATGATACTCAACTATATGTCTCCATCCCTGGTGACCTAAGTGATGCTGTGGCTACTCTTTCGCAGTGCCTGGAGGGTGTAGGGGCCTGGATGGGGGACAACAGGCTTCAACTGAATCCTGGTAAAGCAGAGTGGCTGTGGGTACGGGGAGCCTCAAGATGTAGGAGTTTATCATCTTTGGTTCTTGACAGGGTTGCACTACCCCAGACAGACCTGGTGCATAATCTGGGGGTCCTCTTAGATTCACGACTCCTGTTCAAAGAGCAGGTAGCAGTTGTGGCTAGGAGGGCCTTTGCGCAAGTTCGTGTTGTGCATCAGCTACGCCCCTTCCTGGATCAGGAGGCTCTCTGCACAGTCACTCATGCCCTGGTCACCACCTGTTTGGATTACTGCAATGTGGTCTACATGGGGCTACCCTTGAAGAGTATCCGGAAGCTACAGCTGGCACAAAATGCAGCAGCATGGACTGTTCCGAATGCCCCCAGGGGGGCCATATAACACCTCTGTTACACAAGCTACATTGGTTGCCGGTTTGCATTCAAGGTGTTGGTTACTACCTTTAAAGCCCTTCATGGCACAGGACCAGGTTATCTGAGGAGCTGTCTCACCCCTGTTATATCAGCCCGCCCCACTCAGTCCAGCAGAAGGGGCGTTTGCGGACCCCACCAGTCAAGGAGTTTTGACTGGTGGGGGTCTAGGAAAAGGGCCTTTTCTGCTGTGGTCCCCGCTCTGTGGAACAACTTACCACCCAAGGTGCAGTGTGCCCCCATTCCCATGGCCTTCAGGAAGAGTGCGAAATCTTGGCTATGCCAGATGGCCTAGGGGCCAGATGGGGGCTCGCACCAGTGGAAGTGGCTTGTGGGGTAATTGATTCCCCCCCCC